ATTCAAGAGTCTTTTATATTTGCAATGGAATACAACAATTAATCTCAAAAAATTAAAGACGAAGCATCACAAAATGAGAAAATTTTATTAAAATAAGAAAATTTTTTATGATATTTTAATGATATTTTATATTATATTTTGAGGTCTAGCAGCGCGTCAAGTTTCTTTACATAAAAAATTTTGTTATTTTAATAAAATTTTCTCATTTTGTGATGCTTTGTCTTTAATTTTTTGAATGAGAGGGAGATTGGCCGTCTCCCATGGTCCCTCTCTCTCATTATTGTCGACCACATTTGATACATTACTTAGATACGGATCGCGTAGTCCATTCTCTATGTCTTTGCTATATTCTAACTATTTACATAAAAGTTTAGTTGTACCTACAGCTCTAGAAAACAGAGATGAAATATTAACGATCTGATTGGCTGTCTAAATCACGCGATCACGACTGTTTTTTTTCGTTGTATTCACAGTTCACATGTATAGATTAACTCTCTATGTATAACATGTGGTGATGAGATCACGTTAAATTCTACGCTAATAAATATTTTTGTAGAAAAACATTATATGACATAATCTTCACGGTATATTCAATTTCTTAAAATAAAATTTTTTCTGTGTAATATCTCACAAATTAAATATTTGTTTATAATGTAAATTACAAACAATACTATTCTTTTATTATAATATAATTTTACAATCGATACTAGAAAAATGCTTACTACGGTCAAAGCTGGATCTTCATTGCTTTAAGGCCCAGTTTCACAACTCACGGTTAATTCTTAACTAAGGTTCAATTTGTTTCTCATCTCTTTCCAATTCTGGAAGAAGATAATGAATAAGTTGAACCTCGGTTAAGAGTTAACCGCGAATTGTGAAACTGGGCCTAAATAATTCAATCTTGAATTACACTATATATGTACTTGCATATATTGTAGTCTTTTCAAAATGCGTGCTGAATTATTTTTCCGGACAATAAACGCAATTAAAACTACTCTAGTAATCGCGAATTAAATTGACAAGCAATTTAATAATTTGATGCTACCATCCAGCATCATATCATAAAGATGTTAATATGTTGAAAACATGTTAATAAATTTATTACGAAAAATATTACATCGACCAGGACTTGAACCCTGATCTCTTGTATTCTGTACGTCCTAAGCCATTAGACCACAGAGGCAAACCTGAAACGTTTTAGTAAAGAAGACTAAAAGTATACAAATTAAAAAAATCTTTATATACAAATGTCTTACAAAAAAATATTAAGAAGATTGAACTAAAAATGTCCTAAAGAAAATACTTATAAATCACGAAACAGAAGGTAATATGGGTAAATTGACAAGACCTAATGAAGAAAAGAAGTACATATTAACTTAGAGTCCAAAAATTATGGAAGAAAATAGCATTGCAAAAATATTTTCGATTCGGTTAAGAATTCAACTTTCATGAAATTTATACATTGCATTAGCATATTTGTTTTTGCTATCCTCTTGTTAAACGGAAGTTTCGGCTGAGGTAATACCATTTGCTTTTAAAGGACTGATGCTTTCCTTGGATGATATTAAATCTACCTGAAATATCAAATTGAAGTATATATTAATTTTTGTAAGTTAATACTTACGACTTCTTTTCATAAACATCATTCAATAATCTTCCTTATATGCTTTTCCTAAAAAAAGCGAGCAAAATGTAAAATATTGAACTGAGTTTATTGATTAATTATGATTCCATAAATTATCTAAGAATTTATAAAATTTACATATTAAACGTCATATAATTAGAAAGAGATATAGACATTTTATACGCAACATATATATACGTTATATATATCTACTATATATCAGGATTGAAAACGTTACTTCATAAAAATAACTCGTTAACCGTTACTCGTTATTGATTTACAAAACTCGTTACTGTTATCGTCAAAATAAAACGAATCATTACTTTTCTTTTTTGCCATTAATAGAATATTATATGTAGATTTTTGCGGTAAATGTAAAAAAGATGTCAAAATTCTATTTTTTAGTGGAGAAATAGAGTTCAAAACGTACATGCCTTGCATCGTGCGTTATTTTCATGAATGAAATAGATGCTATCGTATCACATAATATACTTTTTCTAATTTTTATACTTAAATCAATTTATTTTTCGTTTTACATTTAGTAAGGTTTCTTTAAATTATACGTTTACATATACAACTTTCTATTATTGTACATGATGAGTTGTTTGTGTGTGGGTTAATTTCCATAATCTTATTTTAGGTAACCAAAAATAACAATAGCCTACTATGGTTATCTATCATTGCAGAAATTACAAAGAACGTATTGTCGTGTGTGTGTGTATATCATGTCATATATACAGTTAATAAATATTCAAGTTGATATCATTCTAGTAATGATATCGTAAAAATCGGCTATTTCCATCGCAGGATCCGTGTCGACTGAAACAGAGCTAAATTATTGACTTTATGCTCCTTATCACACGTTTATAACTTTCACAAATTTAATATTTAATAATGTTTTGCATACGTGATGCTTACGAGAAAGGTATTTGAGGAAGTAATGCTCAGTGTTATTTCGTGAGAATTCTAAAGCGCAACATCAGTTAGAATACATGTGAATATTTACCGGACTCACAATTCACAATTAGTTGTATACGATGTTCAAACGGTCGTAATTAATTTGGATTCAGAGCAATTCGAAAGACAGGTCTCAATAAATAAAACGGATACGTCTCTTAAATTATCAATTTATAATGATGTATGCGTGAAACGTTTTAGTAAGAAGACTTAAAGTATACAAATTAAAAAACGTCTTTATATACAAATGTTTTGAAAAAAAATATTAATAAAAATTGAACTAAAAGTTCCCTAAAGAAAATATTTATAAATCATGAAACACAAGGCAACATGGATAAATTGACAAGATCTAATGAATAGAAGAAGTAGATATTAACTTAGAATTCAAAAATTATGGAAGAAGATAGTCATTGCAAAAATGTCTTCGATAAAGAATTCAACTTTCATGAATGTAAATAAAACCTCCAATTTCTTTGAAAATATAAATAAAGAAAATTCGTTTGCCGAAAAAAATAATGAACAGAAAGTGAACAAAACAAAATCAGAGCTACATCAAGATTTATTTTGGACGTTCAGAATATTGATAATGTTTTTCAAGGTTATCGGTCTCGCTACATTCGCTCACCGAATCATATACAAAAAGAGAACGTCATACACATTTCAACATTCCAAATTAGGAATCGTTTACAATGTTGTGCTGAGTAGCTTAATGATAGCCGCGAACTATATGTCTATACAATTCAGACTTAATTTGGATTACGAGATCAAGACAAATTTTACTGTAGGCTTCTCGGTTCTACAAACTGTACTTGGTGCACTGGTGATCTGCGTGATTTTGATTGGCTACTGTATCAATCAGAAGTCTTTGGTACAGATCGCCAATCGATTAATCACCATCGAGCACGAAATAGATCGTCTCTATGATCTATATCGTCCACTACGACGACAACGTATCTTCTGCATTATGATCATCGTTTGCATCTTGAAGATTTGCCTTCTGATACTTCTCCAGTTCACTAAGATTCTGATTGGTCATGCAGGCCCAGTCTCATTGCTGATAGACATTTTGCCGACGTTTCACGTGGGTTGGCTACTGATACAGTATTTCCTGTTGGTGATGGTCATTCAGACAGATTTCGCTGATGTAAATCGTGCGATACAAAGCCTCACCAGGATGAAAGCACCTGATCTTCGACTGCAGTCTCTATATAAAACGCGTCGTAACGTAATCAACAATTCGACCGTTCATCAATTGTTGCAACTGCGAAATGTGCATTGTCATCTTTGTGATATCTCTGAAGATGTGTCGAGTTTCTATTCACTACCAGTACTATTTGGCATCGGTTTTCTCTTTCTGTCACTCATATATAATGGTTACCGTATTCTCTGGGTTCTGTTGATGACTGATGATAGCTTAAACTTAAATTATTCTTATATTATTAATCTCATGGTCTGGATCATATTTCGGATTTATCCCATCTTTCTCCTCACCAACAGAATTACTAGGATTTTAATCGAGGTAGAATAATTAATATAATAAGGTGGCATTTTAATCAGATCGTTTTAATCGATGAAACAAAATATTTTTGTCAGTAAATAAAAACTCAAATATTTTACGAAATATTTAAATTATAAACTTACTATTGTATAGATGAAGAAAACGTGCAATATAGTGCATGATCTCTTAAACTGTGCAATCGGGAAAGAGACAAAAGCAGAGCTAAAAAACGAAGTTAGATAAAACTTTCTCAGAAACGGTACTCATCATAACGATATTTATCATAGATATGTTACAGCTCAAGGAATTTTCGCTTCAATTACTACATCGCAAAATACAGTTTACAGCTAACGGATACTTTACGCTTGATAATACTTTTCTTCATTCGGTGAGAATATTTAAAATGTAAGTAATTTAGTATAAATTAACTGTTTTAAATTAATAGTTTTGATTATTTCTCTCAGCTAACTGGCACAATGGTGACATATTTGATAATACTTGTGCAATTTCAAATGGGAAGCTCGCAGTCATCGATCAATACCAACTATACAGTAAGCAATATAACTATACAAGGAAAGAATTAAAATAACAAGCGAAGTAATTAATGGAAGATAAAAAAGACCATAATAAGAAGCCTCTTAAATTGGGATTTAAAATTCAATTAAATGCAATTTATAAACACGCAGAATTGCAGTTCTGAAACTTCTTATTGTAACTTCCTAATACATACATTCAGTTCTGATTTGTAAAATTGGGAAACAAAAATTGTAAATATATACATTGTATCGAAATTAATATTTTTAATTAATTTAACGATTAAATTGAATAAGACTCGATAGAATAAATCAATTAATAATATTAATTTTACTTAAGTAAAAAAATGTTAATAACCAATATTCGGCGATTTTTAGTAATTAATATCTTATTGACTATTGCGAAAATTGCAAAATGGTAGAAGATTTTTCGACTTAATTTAGTCCTGTCTATACCAGCACATGAAACATTTGGCGATTATTATGGGACATCCTGTTTAGGTACACATTTTGCGATGTATGTATTTTGTAATGGGAAGCAATAAATCTTTCAGTTTTAATTGCACATTATTTATTTGAAGTAACACAGCATGATTAAAGACATAATGACAGTGATTAGCTATTATTGAAAATAATTATGTCAATTTTAAATTATGTTCAAATTCTTCAACTGAATTGACTGAGGAACGATTTCATTACAGCTTAAACTGAAATTTTATTTCTGTTTAACGACTGTTTATTAGTTTTCAGTTGTCGTAACGATTTGATTTTATTTTATCATTACATTTATGATTGTATAAAACCGTACAACTTTTGTTTAAAACTTTTTGTTCTATCTTTTGTACTTCCGACGATATTCGCTTTGAATGAAAAATATCGTTTTTTTTTTTTCAAAGGGGCGTTTCATCCCTTAAGCATAAGTTAGCTCACCTATAAAAAAATACATGCTATTACCGGCCAACTTCCTCACTCGCTCATTCCAGTATTTCTTCCGAATTCCACCTATCCCTATTTAGTTCCGATGGAATTCTTTTACAACCTCTTGCCTCCTTCCTCCGTTACTATACGCGAGATAGATTAAAAACCAATTAGCACTGCTTGCCCTGTAATTTTATTCTCTGACGACACTAATATGTAAACTAGCTTTCAATGATTTCATTAATTTGTAATTTTTCTGTATTTTTGTTGTAATCGTAATAATTAGTAAATTATTTAATAATAATTCCATTAATTTCTAATTTTTTTCGATTTGTGATTATATTAATTTGAAACTTGTGATGCGTTCAATAGACTATAACAAATTAATAATAGATTTTTAATAATTAATAACATTCTATTAATAATAAACAATGTTTAGTAATTAAAAATCTCTATTTTTCTTAATTTAAAAACTTGAGACTTTGTAGTTTGTCCTTACTCCCCTGCTTTTCAGAGATTGCACGTAGTCCAGTACCGAGTTATAAGGATTAGATTCCTTGACTCGAAATTTGGACCGACGAGAGCACTGCTCATCGGAAACAAGTGATATAGCGTCCCTGAGGGACTTTTAAGTCTGTAGGTTTATACAGATACGACTTTAGACGAATAAACTTGAAGTAATATGAAGTTCTTTTTGACGTAAAAGAAATATTTTATGTAACAGTGCATAAAATGTATGCTCTCATTATTTTAAAAGAGGTTTGCTAAAGTGGCAGAAGTTAATTTAATGCTAAAATGCTTTTTTGACATAATGCATAAGAACTCAAAATGATTATAATAATGTTGACATTGTGATCATATAATATTGACATTAATGACTATACTACAATGCAATTATGCAAAACTATTATTTTATAAATTGGTGCTATAATTAACAAGCATTACAATTGGAGAAATTACGAAGAACGTATTATCGTATATACATATCATGTCATATATAGGAATAATAAATATTTCAGCGAATATCATTCGAACAATAATACCGCAACAATCGGCTATTTTTGCCATCGCAGAATCCTAGTCGACTGAAAGAGAGCTAAATTATAGACTTTATGTTCCTTATCACGCGTTTATAACTTTCAAAAATTTAATATTTAATAATGTTTTGCAGACGTGATGTTTGCGTGAAAGGTATTTGCGAGAGCATCGCTACATGCTCAGTGCTACTTCGAAAGAATTATAAAGCACAACGTCATTTAGAATACACAAATTTATTTTGATTCAAAGCAGTTGGACAGATAGCGATAAAATAAAACGGACCCCTTTTAAACTATCAATTTATGAATGATGTATGGGTGAAACGTTGTTATTCTAATAATAATACCGTATAATACAATCGGCTATTTCCATCACACAATCCATGTCTACTGAACAGAGCTAAATTATCGACTTTATGTTCCTTATCACATGTTTATAACTTTTACAAATTTAATATTTAATAATGTTTTGCAGACGTGATGCTTGCGAGAAAGATATTTGCGGAAGCATACCTACGTTCTCAGTGCTACATTGTAAGAATTATAAAGCGCAACGTCAATCTGGAGACACTGGTAATGTCTCGGCGCTAAGGTATTAGAATATATGTGAATATTTACCGGATTCGCAATTAGTTGCACACGACGTTCGAACAGTAGTAATTAATTTGGATACAAAGGATTAATTGGATAGACATTGATAAAATAAAACGGACGTCTCTTAAATCATTAATTTATGAATGATGTACGCGTGAAATGTTTTAGTAAGAAGACTTAAAGTATATAAATTAAAAAAAATCTTTATATATTATACAGATGTCTCGAAAAGAAAATTAAGAAGAATTGAACTGAAAGTTTCCTAAAGAAAATATTTATAAATCATGACACACAAGGCAATATGGAGAAATTGACAAGGCCTAATGAAGAGAAGAAGTAGATATAAACTTAGAATTCAAAAATTATGGAAGAAGATAGTCATTGCAAAAATGTCTTCGATAAAGAATTCAACTTTCATGAATGTAAATAAAACCTCCAATTTCTTTGAAAATATAAATAAAGAAAATTCGTTTGCCGAAAAAAATAATGAACAGAAAGTGAACAAAATAAAATCAGAGCTACATCAAGATTTATTTTGGACGTTCAGAATATTGATAATGTTTTTCAAGGTTATCGGTCTCGCTACATTCGCTCACCGAATCATATACAAAAAGAGAACGTCATACACATTTCAACATTCCAAATTAGGAATCGTTTACAATGTTGTGTTGAGTAGTTTAATGGTAGCTTGCTACTATATGTATATTATATCATACGTATTTAACGTCGACTACTACGACAACATGAATTTGACTGTAGGCACCGAGTTTCTGCCTATTGTACTAGGTGCTCTGACGAACTGCGTGATTTTGATTAGCTACTGTATCAACCAGAAGTCCTTGGTGCGGATCGTCAATCGATTAATCACCATCGAGCACGAGATAGATCGTATGTACGATCTATATTATCCGCTACGACGACAGCGTGTCTTCTACACTATGATAATTGCGTGCATCTTGAACATTTGTCTGCTGATACTCCTCGTGTTTCTTGATATCCTCCAAGAAGGCCAAATCTCATTGGGGATAGCAGATCTGCTGACAATTTGCGTGAATTGGCTACTGATACAGTACTTCTTGTTGGTGACGGTCATTCAGACAGATTTCGGTGATGTGAATCGAGCAATACAAAGCCTCACCACAACCAATACACCTGATCTTCGATTGCAGTCTCTCTATCAAACGAGTCGTGTCGTAGTCAACAATTCGACCGTTTATCAACTGTTGCAACTGCGAGATGTGCATTGTCATCTTTGTGAAATCTCTGAGGATGTGTCGAGTTTCTATTCACTACCAGTACTATTCGGCATCATTTTTTTCTTTCTGACACTAATATGTGGTGGTTACAATTTTCTTTTGCTTCTGTTGATTTCTGTTGAGATCTTCAATTATTGGGATTTTATTAATATCATCGTCTGGATGATATTTCTGATTTATCCCATTTTTCTTCTCACCAATAGAATTACCAGGATTTTAATCGAGGTAGGATAATGAATATGATAAGATCGCACTTTAATCATATCATTTTAATCAAAATATTTTTATCAGTACATAAAATCCTAAATATTTTACGAAATATTTCAATTATAAGTTTATTGTGTAGATGAAGAAGACGAGCAATATAGTGCATGATCTTTTAAACTGTGCAATCGGGAAAGAGACAAAAGGAGAGGTAAAAAACAAAGTTAATACTTTCTCAGAAACAGTATCGTAACAATATTTATCATAGTTATGTTACAGCTCAAGAAATTTTCGCTTCAATTGCTACATCGCAAAATACTGTTTACAGCTAACGGATACTTTACGCTCGATAATACTTTTCTTCATTCGGTGAGAATATTTAGAAAATAAGTAATTTAATATAAATTAACTTTTTTAAATTAATAATTTTGATTATCTCTCTCTCTCAGCTGATTGGCACAGTGGTGACATATTGGGTAATATTTGCACAATTTCAAATGGCAAGCTTGTTTTCGTCGATCAAACAGCAATGTAACTATACAGGGAGAGATTTAAAATAAGAAACGGAGTAATAAATTAAAGATAAGAAAAAATATAATGAGAAATATCGAAGCTTCTTAAATTGTGATTTAAAATCCAATTAAATGCAATTTATAAACACACAGAATTTCAGTTCTGAAACTTCTTATTGTAACTTCCTAATACATACAATCAGTTGTGATTTATAAAATTAGAAAACAAAATCTGTAAATATATGTATTGTATCTAAATTAATATTGTTAATTAATTTATTTAACAATTAAATTGAATAAAATTAGATAGAATAAATCAATTAATAATATTAATTTTACTTAAGTAAGAAACTATTGAAAATCAATATTCGGCGATTTTTAGTAATTAATATCTTATTAACTATTACGAAAATTGTAAAATGGTAGAAGACTTTTCGAATTAATTAAGTCCTCTCTACACCACATGAAATATTTAGCGATTATTATGGGACACTCTGTATAGGCACACATTTTGCGATGTATGTGTTTTG